TACGCTGTTTAGGTCAAATATATCAATATCAATATTGTCGATCTTTTAGTAACAACAGCCAGAATATCTAATAATGTTCATCAATTAAGTGAATGATATTATCGACTGTTGTAATCCATACTAATAGAACAAGCAGTAAGTGGTTGATTACGTTTATGTTCTGATCTTTGAACTGGCAAACTTCAAAAGACCAATTACCTTAGCTTAGCGTCTATTTTCACAGATTAAAACTACATGTATTTATCCGGTGATCAGGTGATGCCTCATAGCACTCTTCATTGTAGATGTGCGATTATGAGTGAAGATCTGTTTTGTATTCTTACGGACATCCAAATCTACACACTCTACCCTCATCCACACTTACATCCGTACAAACACACACCATACTCGCGCATACCTCTGTAAAAGTCTTGAAAACCCATCGTACAATCGATGATTTGTAGTGTGTTCTAAAAGAGACAATGTGGTATATCTAACCTTGTTAAAATCTTAAAGTAAGATTTTTTCAACGAAAATCATCTGTTGTAAGTGAAAGGTGAATCTTAAAGAAGAATATTTCAATTTGAAGTTAAAATCTGATTACAAAATCAGTTCGTTATTTCATGTCTTCTGATAGAAAAATTCTATTTGATTGATTTCTATGTCAAATACGATTTGTAGTGCATATGACATTGGAGCATTTCGGTCTTACAATTACAGCAGTTTAAATTGTGTGTAATATCATAATTCCATAGCAAACGTACTAAGGAATAATTGAGATGTCAATTACGAAGAATACAACAAATATAATCAAAGTATTGTGTCGTTGAACATAGACATAGCAACAAATTGATAATGTATATGTTGAGAAATAAATTACTAATAATGAGTGTGTGATTGTGTTTTCGTGCATAAACAACAGAAATAATAATGAGCTTGTTAAAACGGCATTAACGCGTTTTCTCGAACATGGCAAACGCTTCTGATATTGCTTTACTATAAAGATTAATCAAGCTGAAAATACAAGAAACAGAAAAGAAAGCATGCTTTCTTAACAAACAAAGTCATGCGAGAAAAAAAAGACCGAAGTTGCTTCTGCAATGTTTACTACCACGAGTATATAATTACGGGAAAAAATGAGCATCTACTTTCTTTTAGAATCGCCTTCGGAAACTTCATTTCTGTATCTCATATCAACTAACTTTACATCGTCGATCTTTGCTCTAATCCACGTTAGTATCTTAGGCAATATTAACATCACTAGAACCATGACTTCACCGACGACAATGAAGAAAGAACTCAACAGGAGAGTCTCACCTACGTCCAAAGATACAACAGATCGGTCGAGTCGATCAAGCTCGAATGAGGGCACTCGAACGGTAATACAATGCAGATGAATTTTAACAAAAGTCTTTGTTTTTTTGTCTTTATGCAGTCTCGTCGACTTTGGTGGTCACCGAAACGCAATACCGTAGAAATTCATAACGAAAGCGTTACAATAAAAAATGCTAAACCGAAAGTGGGCTCATTGGGTAATATTAAGTATCGACCAGGTGGTGGTCAAGTTACATTACCTAAGGAATCTACCAAATGGCAAGCATCACCGAGAATCAACTCATTATCGAATATAAGTTGGACACCTCCAGCGCCGCATGTTAGTATTCAACAAGAAAAATTAAATTGGAAAGCTCAGCCGAAAGTTAATTCAATGGATAATATCAAGTACAAGCCAGTCGAGAGAAGCGTGGAAATTTATCACGAAAAACTTGACTTTACACATGCAACGCCACGTGTCGACTGCGGCTTTTCAAATTGATCTCTTATTTGATGCAACCGCATAGTCGTAATGAAAACAAACCATATCATACATGCTATTGTACTCACTTTGATTCACCTTAAGAATATGAACATATATACATGTAATGTTGCGCAGACGAAATTTGTGTTGAAATTCGAATAAACCGAAGGCGCACTGATTTGTCGATGTAAATGTGTCTTTACTTCATCAAAACTACATACAAACCTCAGATTTACACTCTCACCCCCACATCTTCAGACTGTTCGACAGCATCAATATCCAGTAGAAAAAGAAGCTTTTGAGTGGTGCAAAGATCTCAAGAACCTGACAAGACCCAACTGTCGAATCACTCCTTATGAGAATCTGTCAGAAACTAATGGGGCACACACATGTGTTGAGCAATAAACCGAACTAGAGTCTCTCTCAGGATTTATAGTTTTTCAAACGCAGCGAAGTCTTATGTGCATCATATAAAATGAAAAAGAAAAGAAAATTGATTTTCAGTACCAATACTAGTAGCCATTATGGCAATATGTATATTACTGTGAGCAAAAATGCCATTGAAGTTCTGTTTGATAAAAAACCGTCGCAAAAGTAACTAACAAAGGAAAAAGTAGCTAGGAAATATCACTTCGCTTGAAATACAAACAACTAATATCGGTTTCAAAATAAAAAAAAGTGTGAGTATTTTTTGAATAACTTTTGATAGGAACAAGATAGAGAGCTGCGGTTCTCTCCGTTGGAAAGAGGCGATGAAACTGCATCGATTCGTATATTTCAGATTTTTTTCTGACAAGTATTTTAAAGGTCTTCCCAAGAAATGTTTTAAAAACTCAACGATTTTAGACGTAGAAGAAATTGATTTTTTATTAAAAACTAAGAAAAAAAAAGGATTTTTTCGTTAAAAATTGACCGACAACACACAGTGACGTGTTCATAACTCATGATTAGCTAAAGATAATAATGTCGGGCTTGTATAGCTGATAGGTCTTTAGTTAGTGATTCTAGTGTCCTCCTCAAAATTAAAAGTCCATAATATTTACATTATATAACGCTTTATCTTTTGAAAACTTGTCGAGGAACCCTTAAAATACTTGTTAGAAAAAATCTAAAATATACGAATCGATGCAGTTTCATCGCCTCTTTCCAACGGTGAGAACCGCAGCTCCCTATCTTGTTTTTATCAAAATTTATTCTAAAAATACTCGTCCTTTTTTCATTTTGAAACCGATATTAGTACATGAGTCATTCAACTGCAGAAAGCAAATTATTCTTCTGTTTGCTGCTATATAAGCGATTGATAAGTTATGATGCACTTCACTCATTGGCAAATAAGACGCCGTAGACCTCCAGGAAGATGGTCTTTTGAAATGTTGTGAAAATCAACTTTACTGAAAAAATTCTAAGCATAGTGCATTAGAAAAACAGAAAACTTGTAAAGTAGCATGAACTGAAAAGTATCAGCTATTGGATTTTATTAGAATCTGTTAAAAGTAGTCCAGAAAAGTACGCTTGGAATTTCAAGGTGAAAAATCTTAAGTTAAAACACAGCTTAACTTCTAATACCTTACTAAATTATTGGAAGCATAATAAATTCATTGTGCATGGCGAGAGACTTTGATCGTATGATGTGAAAGTGTTAGATCAATATTTAGAGCTGAGATTTTGTTAATGATCGAAAATTCGTCAGTTTCAAACTTCAAGACTCATATCGCTTGGTCATTAAAACCATGGAAATTATTAAAAACTCGCAAAATAGGCCGTTTGATACCTCAAAAATCAATTTAAAAAAAACTGGTGAAAATCAGTCGATCTGAAGAGTTCAAACGAGTCAGTAATCAGTAGATTGGCTGATTCAGTTCCAAATATGACGTGTGCATCGGTCTTCGATTGCGCGCATGTTTTGGATATACTTGTATTCATTGCTCGATAGACTATAGTATATTGATTACTGCCTTATCGTATACAAGATATGGAAGTTGTTCGAAAAAATGATTCAGCAGCGTACCAAAAGTTTTATGATTTCGTCTATTTTAAATTGATCACTCAAATTTTATATGTCGTAGAGTTGGGATGAAAAAAAACAGTAAAAAGCTTGATTTTAATGACATAAAGAAGATAAATTATATGGAACGTAGGATAATAAATATTTCTGCATCAAGATTGTTCGTTTTTACAACCAGATAAGTGATTGAGTCGTACTTCTCTGATCACTTTTCAGGAAAATATAATGTTCGAAACTGACTTACACAATATGCTGGATTACGTAGAGCCATAGAGAAACTGTCACGAAGGAAAACTAGCATTTTCTTATTCATATATTTTGTAAGTGTTTCTGTAAATATCGAAAAAGCAGAAACAAATAGAAAAAATATCGAAGGTTGTCAACGTTCTTCTCGACTTATTCTTAGTGTTTCTAGTGATTGTGAAATCCAATAATCAGTGCCTTTTTTGTTCTCTAAAATGCATGGAATTTCCACGATTACAAAAATGGTAACTGTAAAAAATACTTTTGTACTCAGTATGGTTCGACAATCGCAGAGTTTCTATTGTGAAAGAGCCTTGATGAAGCTATGATCCGTAGATTTGTATTCAAATATAGAGAATACAAACTTAACTCTTATCTGATAAGCATGCAAAGAACGAGAGAGAGAAATTACATAAAAGAACTGAAAAAAAACTTCTGTTATTACAAAGAAATTGGTATGGTGGAGTTGCACAATTTGCAGTCAGACGATGAATGTCATCATACAATGCAGCAATATTGCCCATGACGTCTCATCTTATTGATTCATGCAATTTATGGCATTACTGACGTTTTTTTTCTTTCTGCTTACTGTTTTCGGTTACATTTTTTGTTTTACATTCGCCGGTGCATTAAGATCTCCTTTTTCTGGATAAATGTGTTTTTTTTGCAAGATACGAATTATGAATGTTATTTTATCGTGTAAGGTAAATGTAATCATTTGCTTCTTCTTATAGAAAAACAATGCTAGCGACAGAAACTAATACACAGTGGATGGATAATCAAACATGGACCGAAATAGCGCAAGGCATTGATCAGGCTCGTAACTTGCAAAAATTACCGCCCGAAATGTTTATGCACTTGTTTAAGTATATGCTCTTTTTCTTTTTAATGCAGTATGATTTTATTATTTTTCTTTTTGTTCATTTTCATTAAAGCCTCATATACGACTATTGCTCAAACATTAAAGAATTCCGAATGCTTTCAAACCAGGATAATGAACCATTCATTGCAAAGAATGATGCTTTAGGATATGTTCATGGAGAAAAATTATACAAACAAATTGAATCTCATTTTGAAGCTTATCTTATCAAACTTCATCAAGTAGGTAATCATCACGTTACTGAAAAAAAAAGTTTGTTTTTGATGATTTCTTTTTTATTATTGAATTGAGAAATGAAGAATGAATGAATATTTTTCATAATATCAATCTAGACTTGCATCACTTGTCATGATGAAGATCTAATTCGATTATATATGGATTATTGGGAACGATATCAATGTTCAAGCAAAGTAATTGATGGCTTTTGCAGTTATGTTAATAAATGGTGGATATTAGCAGATCATACAAAACATATCGATGATATATTCACTGTGAGTTGTGATCGAACATTTTTCTAGTATTCCCTAGATCTGACATCTTTTCAGTTGTCGATATTGAAATGGAAAGAGTTAATTTTTGAGAAACTCAGCGAGAAAATGATACAAACTTGTTTTAATCGAATCTTAGCTGAACGTAAAAAAGAAATAATTGATAGTCAACTCATCAAAGCTATGGTTCAGAGTTACGGTAAAATAAAAAAAAAAAAGAATATTAAATTCTATATTTTAATCAATGTTTCATGGTTGTTTGCGTTTATTTCACTTATTTAGTCACTCTTGGTTACAAATTGAAGGAGGCAGAACTGAAGAGAAACGATTTAATAATTCTAGAAATGCTGGACATATACAAAGAATATTTCGAAGCTCCATTCGTTCAAGATAGTGCGAAGTTCTATCAACGTGAAGCTACAACTTTTATAAATGAAAATCCGATCAACGAATATCTCAGATGGGTAAGTCTAGTTTTCGTGCTGAGCACCCATTCTTAAATCGCTCGTTCTTTCTTTCTTTCTTTCTTAGGTAGCTCAATGTCTTGTTGATGAAGAGAATCGTATTAAATCCTATCTACATCCATCAACCTTGGAACCAATCCTAAAAATTCTTGATAATGTACTCATTCGCGATAATCTTGATCGTATACTTGATGAAGCTGAGTTTCTTTTCAATAACAGTAGAAATCAAGGTGAGCATGTATCCATTATTCATTCTCCTATCATTGCTTTACGTATCCGATTCTGTGCATTGATGCCCAAACAGATCAATGTTGCTAGAAGTGAATTATAATATATACTGTGATATGACATATATGTAGCTTGATTTACATATCTAATGCCCTTGAATACATATCATCCTTTGATTCTGTAGAAATTTCTATAATTGGTTTAATGATTTCTTTGTGTCATTTTGATGATTTATCTAGCAATAGTTGAATCAAGTTGTTATGAATATTTTGAAATACTTTGAGATAATTTGGTTGAATGATGCAAAAGATTGTTATTCAAAGCTGAGACCTTCATTTTGATTGTCAATAATAGAACATACAAATGAAATTGAATCAAGAACTTTTCTAACATATTTAACAACTCTAATTTTTAGATGAATATTATCATCATAAGCTTTTTCCTTGACCTCGAATATAGAAAAATCACAGATTCAGTATAGTACGACATTTATTTACTGACTGACGGAGAAAAATAAAGAGTAGTAAACTTATTTTACATACATTTTGCTAAAGTGAAGAAAATGTTTCATTGAATTTTGACTGAATAGATGTGGCTCTACTCTATAAATTATTAAGTCGAGTACCAAATGCTATTGATCAGCTCAAGCAAATTTTCGAAAAGCATGTCTATCAGATGGGAATACAAATGATTCAGAGTGTCAGTGAAATTGCAGTCAATGTAAGTACATTAAAATTACACACTTTATACACATATATGTATATTTATTTATATTTGGATTGATATGAAATCAGGATTCTTCAGTTTATATTAATACAATTCTTGGAGGTTATAAAAAATATATGACTCTTATCAAAGAATGTTTCGAAGTCGATATCAGTCGTTTTATTTTAGTTCTCGAACATGTATGTATCCGTGTTATACCTTAGTTTCTATTATGAATAAACTTTTTCTAGGCTTTTACTAAAGTTCTAAATAGAAATGCAGTAACTATTGCAGCTCACAGTAGTACAAAGTCGTCTGAACTATTGGCTTTATTTTCTAATATAATTTTTCAAATAAAGTATGGTTATAATTAAAAGAAATACTAAGATTATTATTCTATGTAAAAAATTTGTAGTAATGATATAGATGATACAAATATTCAAAAATATATAGAAGATATTATGGTATATTTTTAAATTTTTGTTTTCTTTATCTATGTTCATTGAATTCGTTTGAATGTTTTAATAGATAGTTTTCAAATGCATTGAAAATAAAGATGCATTCCATAATTTCTATTGGCAAATGTTAGCTGAACGACTAGTTTATGAACGAAGCGCCTCAGTTGACTATGAAAAAATGATGATTACAGAATTTCAAGTAAGTATATTTATTCTAGTTCTAAAAATTACTCTAAACTAATTGACTTTATATTTTTAGAAAGAATGTGGACACATGTATACATTAAAATTAAATAAAATGATTGAAAATTTTTGTTTGAAAGAAAACTTGATGAAAAAATATCAAGAACACTGCGAAAATCAGCAATCACTATGTAATAGTATGTGAAAACAAAAGATATCTTATATGACTTATCTTCAAAAATATCTTTTCAGTCAATTTTTCATGTATGGTACTTGCTACAAACTTATGGCCTTTTTCTGTTATATCCGACTTCAATCTACCATTTGAAGTAATTGATATTATCATATATATATATTCTTTTACATTTTATTTCGATTCTTCTTCATTTAGCTTGCGTCTTCGATTGATAATTTCATTCAATTCTACTGTCATCAACATAACAAACAAAAACTTACATGGCTTTATCAATATTCAAGAGGTGAACTACATGCCTATTTTACTAAATCGACATATGTACTGCAAGTAAGACTACTCATTTTGATCTTCTTTGGAATTCTATACTTATTTATGCATTTAGGTATCAGCTTATGAAATGGTCATTCTACTTTTATATAATAATTCATTAGAATGGACAATTGAGCAAATCTACAAAAAGACACATATTAAGACTGATATTTTGATGGAAATTTTGTATATTCTTATTAAAAGTGATCTATTAACATGTTTGCAAATTAGAAAAGAAGATTTAAAGGAGAAAAATCTCCAAATGGGACATATGATTCGATTAAATGATAATTTTACAAGGTATAAAATGAAATAAGTATAGTTTCCTACACTATCATTTGCTCTATTAATTCGATTTTTAGTGATCAAAGTTGCATCAATCTAAACAAGCCATTAAAAATAATAAAAAAAGATAGTAAAATACATAGACAAAAATCAACTGATGGTGATCATAGATTTTCAATTCAGGTAGATATATTTTGTTTTTCTACAAGATCTCTGAATATATACGTATTTATATGCATATAATTAGGCGACTATTGTTCGAATAATGAAAAGTCGAAAAATTTTGACTCAAGATTTTCTCATACAAGAAGTTATTGATCAATTGAAAAACAGAATTTCGGTCGATGTTGATGTTATCGAAGTATTTTTTCATTTTTATACTTAAAACTTGTAAAAAAAAAAAAGTATGATAATTATTTTTTCTTTATAGCCATGGATCGAATACTTAATCAGTAAAGAATATCTCAAGTATAATGCAGATGATAACAACATTCTAGAATATTTGCCTTAGAAGATAATCGAAATATGTTTACTTACCTTTGTCATAATTATAATCGAGTACCTTAATTCTTTTCTGATGTAATTTTTAATACTCAATATTCAATAAAAAATAAAGAAAATTCTGACAAAGATATTTGATTTACTACAATCTTTTTTCTTTTGCTATTTTAGTTTATATGTAAATTTTGAAAAAAGAAACAATAATTATGAGATTTATTTTTTTCAATCTAAATACAATTAAATTATAAAAATTATTCTATCAAAATCAATTTTTGTAATGAACGAATATATTCTTCATGAATCTTTTTGTGTTATTCTATGTTATTTACTTTTCAATTGAATGAAATGAGACAGTAGAATTACAAAGTCTTCAAGAAAATTAAAATCAATATCCATCTATAATATACATTTTTCTTTTATTTCGATCAGTATATGCTACTTGCCAATAACTAGAAAAAGTAATTTATCAATGGATTGACTTTAAATGAACTCATAATACATGATTGAATTCAACGAAAGTCTGCTAGGATATTATTAATAAATGTTCTGATGATTACATTCGTTTCATTCCTATATGAAACATGTTTAACAGCTTTTCTGATTATCAATTCATGGATACCAAATACTTATTGTACACTTTCAATGATACAATGAGCTGTATGACAATCAGAAGGAGCTAATGCGTGCTTAATTATGCAGAAACAGTCTCACGCTTCTCAAATAGACAGTACTGCCATTTTGCCATGTTTTTTTTTAAGAATTCACCATTGTGATTGCTCGCTTGCTTCATAAGAACTATCGAGTGATTAATAATAAAAGGCAACTCCGTGGTCAGATTGTTGTTGATTTGATTCTTTATTATGAGAGATTGTCTTCCTAAATAATCGTCTTCTGATAAATAAAACAAAGCATTTATACTTTTCTTTTAATGTTTTTATTGACGAAAGAATCTGAAATTAATTTTCGTTTCGTATCTGAATGACTTATAGACATCATTGATGTTGTGACTTCGCGTAAATAAATGCAAGCATACATATAAACGCATACATTTGCTTTTCATCACATGCAATATAATTTCAATCTTTTTTTTCATCGTCTACTAACAGATTTGAGAATGAAACTATGATGCAATTACTTGCATGGAGATGTTTTTCGTTTTTGAAGGTTGTGTAATCTACAGGTAAACAGATGACGAAATAAACTCAAGTTATATTTGTTTGCTTACAAAGAAATTTGGACAAAATGTTTCAAATGATGCATTTTACTCATCGTATACGTTTGTTTCGAAACATTCACGAAAAATGACTCATATTCAATGGAATAGCTGATAATTCTCTATCGTATAAAATCTGATATTAGCAACTGTCGGTTAATATTTGATTATTTACTGATAGCTCTATTTGAACTCTTTGATTTTTTCATCTATGTCGAAATTTAACGAAAGTTCTATTCGCTCGACATCGTCGTCACTATCGTAGTGCCATGATATTTTTTGTCAATGTTCTTATCAACACCGATTCATTTTTCTTAGAAAAAAATGTTTATATTGTAGTTCCATAAACATCATGTCGATCAATACAGGTATCTCTATTGTTTTTACTTACTTATTTTCTCTAATGTTCCTATTTAGCATATCACGTCCAGGATTAATTAATTCAGAGTTGCTAACGGTCATTTTTCGATCTCACAGATACTTTTTAATACGGTGCGAAGCACAGCATTTATGTAGTCGTGCGCGAGTTTTTTTTTCTTCTTTCTTTTTTCCTATACGTACGCATCAAACTTGTCATTTTGTGACGCAGTGATCTCGAGACTGGAAACTCACAAAACACTCGTTTAAACGCGAAGCCAAAGTATCGAGATCGAACTCGTAACTTTTGTATTGATATTGTTCTGAAGATGCTTAATTTCCTCATAATCGGTTTCCGAAAATGACAAATATGAAACTATTTATTTGCTTTTCGTTTTGAGATAATTAAAATTGAAAAAATAAAAGAAAGTTAGGCGCCATTTACTTTTCTCATATGTCAAACAGCTGTAAATACAGCTGATAGTAGATAGTGAATCATTGAGATAATTAATCGATCAATAAACAGCAGTTTCTAGAAGTCTGTCGATACGCTTTAGTAGAGTTTCTCTAGTGATCAATTTCATAATGGATACCTTTCATCTCAGATCTAGGTTAGATCAGCTGTTCGAAAAATATTTCTTTTTAATCTTTTATCCCTACTTGAGAAAAACTTCAATTATCTTTGAACCTTGATGTAGAATGTAAGAAGCAATTTCGACAATATTTAGACCGTTTATTCGATTTCGATACGAAATTCGTTTTTCGGATTCTCGGCACGTGTGCTTCGCACCGCATTTCGTATTCGAGTCGAAACTCGAATACCATCTAGTTCTAGACTGCGCATATATTTTTGTAGATCTCCTTCAATCAATTTCTTACGAAATATTTGCATCATAATTTTATTAATTTTATCGGTGATAATGATCAATAGATTATGAATAGGACTGCCTCTACAAAAATGACTTTTGGCTATATATAAAAAGGTTTCAGAACATTTTTTATACATAGCAGAAATTTATATGGTTATCATTTAATTTTTACGACTCCCTAAATATTTGAGTGCATTAATTGAAAAACCTGTTATTGTAATAAGTACCCTTTTCTTTTCTTTGAATAAATACCTAAATAGCCATGAAAACACTTTCAGATTATCATCGATTTGCTTGCGTTTGTGGTAAGATTATTCAATTATTAATTCATCAACATTATCGGTTTTATTGTTCATATTACTAAACTTTAATTCGTCATTGTCTTGAAACTATACAAACATCAATATCAAGCATGGCTTTTTGTACTCTACCTGTCGAACTTCTCCATCGCATTTATGATCATCTCGACATACAGACCATTCTTCTTTCAGTTCGATGTGTTTGCAAACAGTTACATGCTACTACCAATACTTACAATCGATTTCAATTTCGTCTCAATTCAATGTCAAAATTTGACATAGAACTTGTTTCTCGTATCATACGACCTGAACGAGTCATTGCTCTATATATTGTCAATATGTCACAACCATCATTCAGATCTGTTGACTTATTTTTCTCAACATTTGACCTTCATTTATTTGCTTACCTGAGTTCATTAACCATGAGTATAATTGATAATGATAAACTGCATCGAGTTTTACAACATATCACTATGTGTCCGTTGGTTTCAATGTCAATCGATTTAAATAATACTAATATTAGCAATAGCACTACGATGGCTCATCTTTCGTCAGTGATCAATAAATTTAATTTTCGGAAGCTAATTTTAAATAATAATAATCATGTAATCAAGTGCATATCATGGACACCTCAATGCACAGTACAGTATTTGAGCGTTAAAACTTGCAGTTTTCATGAGTACGAATTCATTCTCAAACAATTACCTCACTTAAGAAGATTCAGAGCGCCATACTTCATTATGGACAATGGTATCAATAAAGCATCTATCATTGCATCACGTACTAATGTAAGCTATGTTCAATTGAGATCTCTCATAATGCATGAATGTAATCTTGAGAGTGAAATACTTATGGCGCTTCTCTCCATCACACCATCGCTTGTTCATCTCAAACTGGTGTCATCTCGACAAAGTTACGACACTCTCTTTGATGGTTCAGCTTGGGAACAATTCATTTCCAGTCAATTATCTCATTTGATTCGATTTGAATTTTTCTTCAAATACTGCATTAATAATAATATTTTTCCTAGCTTTGATTCAATTCTCACTTCATTTCGACAACCATTTTGGTTAAGCGAAAAACGTTGGCTAGTAACTTGTGATTATATTATGGAATTGAAAACAATCGCTCTCTATACAATACCAATGCGTACAGATGACAAAGAAAAAATAATAAGATATAAAGCATCATCAACGAATACTGGATGTTTTCTAACAAGAATCTGGAAAAATACGATTGATTTCGTTGAAGATGAGGTATATATGAAATTCTTTCTAACAAAATATTCTTAACTTCTTGTGTCACTAGGACTTCTTTTTTCACGTGAATTAGTTTTATGCATCAATTCAGCTCGGTTAGATAGTGTATAGGATAATTAATATGAGCTGATAATCGTGTAATCATTCGATTTCTCGGTTAGGCTCATAGAATTTGCGGTAGTTACAGAATGAGATTAAATATCTACAAGAAATGATTACGATATGTATCGTGATCAATGAAATAGCAATGCCATAAAAATCTGTCACTAGTCAAATGATCTTCTAGATGTTTATTCATTTCCAATTTTCAAACAATTGCTATCAGCTAGAAACAAAAAGCAGACATATTTGTGGTCGATAATAACTTAAACTAAGTTTATGTGTGTAACTCTCATTCACTCAGAAGTCGAAAAGTATTTGTTTAGTGACTAGAATTCAGAAAAAAATTAGAACTAATACTCTCGATAGTTTGAAGTCAGTTCATTCATATAGATCTTCTCATCTTCTCTTATAAAAAACAAAAGATTGACCAACTTATCGCTGAAAAATCCTAAGAAACTTCTTTAGTACAATAATTGAGAGGAATTAGTCAATATTCACCTAGGTAAAAGTCTATTCTTAATGAAATCGATTTTAAAGAAGTTCTACTTATTGAATGCTTTCCACAGGCATTTTCGAATGATAAATTATTCTCACACACTTAATCACTAAGAAGTTTTCAATTAATTTATCATGCTAGTATCATTCGAATCTAGATATAGTATGCTATTGGTTGATAATTTAAGTAAAAAATTTGATCTCATTAAAGAATAAAAGCTTCAAATCTGTTTTCAGAATTTTATATTATCTGTTGATTGCAGTAACACGTAAGCTTACAGCAAGATTCAAATTTTAAACATGAATCTATACTAGATCTCAACTAAAACGTATTGTTTCTTTTTCAATGCAGACATCCACAACAGTACAATTTGGATCGAATGGAATCGGATATCATGAAGCAACATATTTGGCAGATGTGCTAAAAGATAATACGGTAAGAAGAAAAAGAAGTCCTTCGTGACATTTCATATCGATTCTCACCACAGCACAAAAATCTAATTAGTAAGTTCTATTGAACATCATTCGATTGTTAGAAGTAAATATTACTCATTTTCCATGTATCGGGAAAGAATTTCTTATCAAAGTCAGTATTTGGAAATATTGAAGGCTGATTAAATATCGAAAACTGCGAGACCCTATTCAGAGGAGGTTTCATGAAGAACATACACCTTAATCAACAGTTCGTGTACCATCCTACTAATACACATAAAGGGAAATACAGAAAACACGATTAGCTACGTTCAACCGTATTTTGATCAGAATATGCTAGCGAATAGTGAAACCGTGAGCAAATCAACGCTGAAATGATGACAGAGGAACCATAATGACCTTCTTGTCTTCGTTTCTTGATAGCTATACCACTACGAATGAAAGACAGTGTTCTATGAATTCAATGTGTTTGTATCACTGAGTCAGAAATAACTTTCACAAGCTGTACACAAATAAAATTCGAAATTATTTTTGCACTATACTTTCGTAACATGGATTATATTCTTACATCGTCGGGTTTTCTTTTTGTTCAATGCAGACAATCACGACACTCAAACTTTCAGTGTGTCCAGCTGGAACTGTTAGTAATCGACGAGAAAGATTTTACAATTTCTATGAACGGCCACTACCAGCTGAACGTTTTCGATTGGATCAGAAGATTGGACCACAACATCTAGCAGATGCATTTAAAAATTGCTCGACGAATTTTTGTGGAACTACATTTACTGTGATTTGTGATACATGGATAACAGAAATTGAACTCTCATCAAATCATATTAGAAATGATGGGATGAAATATCTGGCAAGTGCATTGAAAAACAACAAGGTAAGAAACATAGTCAGAGTTACTACATATTCATAAATCTGAGTACTTCTGGCAAAAAAAAAATCATTTGCAATAATATTCAAGTGATTCGCAAATCAAAAATTTAAATAATTGATCATTATTGATTCAAATACTTTTGTTGAGTAAATTTCAAATAGTAGATCTTCATTCGAATAAAAATCCAAGTACTAGATTAATCACTTAAATATGAACATACATAAGCTTAATTTGACTAGTACTAGGTAAATATTTGCCTATTTTCTCCGATAAAGAAGTGATTGAAACTCATACCTCGTTTAAACAAAGAGTTTTGATTCAGTTGATATATTTTTGTTGATTTACTGGAGTAGACTCTCAAGGCACTCTATCTTCAATGGAATTTTATTGGAGATCTTGGAGTACAGTATCTAGCAGATACATTACAAGTCAATACGGTACGAAGAGCAAATTAGTTAATCTGATTGATATTATAGCTTCTTTATTGACTTAGACAATCACAACACTTCATCTTGCATGGAATATAATTACAAATGTTGGAGTAAGATACTTAGCTGATGCTTTAAAATGCAACACAGTAAGAAAAATAGAATTTTCAATCTGATTGATTTTATTGTATCTTCTTTGGATACAGACATTAACAACATTGAATCTTGTATCGAATAACATTTTTGATGATGGAATAAAAGATTTAGCAGACGCACTAATCATAAATACAGTACGAGAAATAAATTCTTCTTTACTTTGTTATTTTTGTTTTTTTTCTTCGATACAGACGCTCACAACACTTCATCTTGGATCGAATGTAGTCGGAAATGCTGGCGCACAGTACTTCGCTAATGCATTAAGACATAACAAGGTGAGATATATGTAGTTTCTTCTTTTGACTGATTTACATGTAATGCGTGGATGTTGGCGTCTGTTGTTTTAGACTTGTTACTCTTTCGCAAAATCTGTATCGAATTCTTGTACTTCATGTTATTATGATCTTAAAATCATAACCGTCTCTTGTACATTCCTAAAAGAATATTTAGATCGAGGAAACAGATTATGATGAATTTCGCTCAATTCTCGAGCATTAGTTCAGATTATAGTCTCATATACGTCTTAAAAAGTTGTTTACCATCTCAGTGACTTATGAGGTGTAATTTATTATTTCTGTTGAGAAAGAGATGACTTTGATAAGCACTAAAACTAAAATTCAAGATTATTTTGTACTGTACCTTTGTACAATGAATTTCATCTATGCAACATATTAATTGTTTCGTCTTTTCTACAGACACTTACATCACTTCATCTCGGATCAAATAAAGTTGAAGATGAAGGAGCAAAGCATCTAGCAGATGCATTAGAAAGCAATATAGTGAGACCAATAATGTTTTTTTTTTGATTGATTTTTTTGTTTTTTCTTTGATATAGACACTTACGATGCTCTATATAAATTTTAATAAAATCGGAGAGCATTGGATGAAACATATTGCTTCTGCAGTAGAAAAAAATAAAGTCAGAGAAACAGTCATTTCATCAGGTTAATATTATCGTTTCTTTTTTGATGCAGACATCCAAGACACTAGATATCAAATCAAACGATACTGAAGATGCTGAAATAGTGCATGTTATAGATGCGTTAAAAAACAATACGATGGAGGAAATAGTCCCTTCATCTGCTTGATTCCATGACTCTTTCTGAAACACAAATCTTCTCGACGAACTTGTAGCTAAATGTTAAAAATATTATGAGACGTAAAAACATACGACGTTAATGTTTTAACTATCTATGCTCTAATTTATATTCTTGCGTTCATTCTTGATAACAGAAGATTATGACTTTATATTATGTCTATATATATTTATTTATTACAGAGACGTTTTTCTGAAAGTTAATTTCTTACTATCTTCAATAAACAAGAACACTGAGGATTAACATTTTTTGTTTCATGAATTACTTCAAAAAGTAAACTTCTGGCAAAAAACCTATGCATTCGTAGAAATGCAACAATATTCGTTGCCTGCTGAGTATGGGTGTGGGCGAAGAGAGGATGTGAGCACCCATCTACACTCAAAACGATCGAATTTCCTCATACTTTGCCCCTGCAGAATGATTCTTTCACAAAAACAAAAGGCGTTTAGAGAATATTTGACAAAGAATATTTCGTTTAGGACGTTACCAGAAAGTTATGTTCGCATTCGAGTTTCTAACATCCTTATGTGTGAAAGACGGATTGAAGTTTTTTAAGTCAGGTTTTATACCTCGGTATTCTGTGAGGAAAAACTTTGTAGAAGTGTAACCTACATGTTGTATTTTAAAAAGATTCTTTGTTACAGATGCGAAAAATTGTATTTAAATTGAAAATATTTTTATCAGGATTTGAGCAAATAGCTTTTTCAATGCGGCAATGTGAGTTTATTTGCGAAACAAACACACAGTGAAAAAGGAGACGCCAATCGGTAACACTTTTGATGGTTGATTTACCGCTGAATTCGTAACCTTAGAGAGGAGATATTGTTGCAAGAAAATTTTAATAAAATGCGACATGTTTTTTTGCGATAGTCGTCAATGACAAAGGTCGTTTAACTCTTACATGATTTAGACGAATATTTCTTTTTGAATTACACTAGCACCTTCCTTCTTCCAGAAAAAGTTGAGCGAATTTGTACGATGAGCGCTTCTTGTCTAAGAATTGTGTCAATATTCTAACCGTGTTCTCTATATATATAATAAATTTTATTGAACTGATCATCATGTCACATGGAAAGAACCATACGATGAATAAAGTAAGTTCGCAAAATGATACAGTTTCATGAACTTGTCAACAATTACAATCTCTGGCAATGTCTTCTTGCCGCCAAAATATCAACAATCACAATGCTAATAATCATACCCAACAAAACACAAAGAGAAACAATGATAGGTTTGCCATCAGCCAAGCACTCTCCTGTTCCTGAACTGGCATCATGTTTGTTTGTACAAGCTTCCAGATACTTCGTACGACATTTATCGAAGCAATCGCGACTCGGACAGAGGCTTTACAAAAATTTCCTTTGCAGCAGATGCAGATGTAGGTGTATGTATCACCATCGATCGACTGCGTGAAGACTAAAAAGGCGATCAATGACACAAGTAACGGACTTGACGTCTTACTCATATCTGTAATATAAAAAAAGAATTGATAATTGCCAAGATACAACTCACATTTTTGTTTGACAAATAAATATTAGATGTAAAAACTTTCGCCAGAAGAAGGGTGTGGGTGGATGTTCGCTTCATCATTATCCACACTCGCAAAAAAAAAGTCATTTTGTAGTCCTCCAACTGAAAGAACCGAATCCGCACCGTTTGGTTGTTCGTGGCTTTGCAGCATATCTAGTCGGCATGTCTCAATACTTTAGTTAGCCGTTTTTTCAAACGCTACATCGATGGCTTGCTAGTCTGTACAGAGTTCAGGTGAAGATGTATTGAGATATCGGCAAGATTGATACCATTATGTCGGTCCCTTTTCAACTCTGATTTCTATCACCATCATCAAAAGAAGCCTAACAGTCTGAGTGAGAATGCGTCAATGATTTAGGCGAAAAGTAAAAGCTGTGTATCTATTATGATAACAAAATAGCTACTTTTTTCATTGAAGCTGACACGGTGAATGGAAAGAAAATGGGAAATACGGATTCAGAAAGTTTGTGCCTCCCTCTTCATATGATCGCGACGTTCTTTTCAGTGGAAACTCAATACCCGTCAGAAAAAGCAACTACTGAAGTAAATATCACAAATAAGAATGCTACAAGAAGAGAAAAAACCACTTCCTTGTCAGTCTTTACCTGCAGAACAAAAGCCGAAATCAAGATGAAGGTTGAACTAAATTGTATTGTTTCTCTATATATTTCTTCCTCTTCTTCTTCGAAAAAAACAATAGATATCTTGTTGTCTTCAAAGTATAGTTAAAAAGAAAGGAATGTCGATAAGAGGAATTTTTGCGTAGCTGTCTCCCTTGCAAAACCATTTCGATCCACCTTCTCAATAAAGTTCTTACACTTATAGCTCGAGAAGAAAAACAGTTTAAAAGAAACTGAACGTGTCAGAAGCACTGAAATTTCGTCGTATACTTTCATAATCTAAAATTAAAATTTTCTACCTAAATAGTCTCGAAAGTATACGTAACTGTGTTCTTAGAAAGTGAAAATATTCTAGTTTCAAAAATTATTCGTACGACTGAAGAATCGACATTTTATATAGTAGTCGACAAAAGTAGCATCAACTATTTGTGTTCATAGTTTCATCGTAAATAGAACTCAGTGAGTCTTGATCGTAAACAAATAGCTTGATCTCAATCGGTTGATTTGTAGTGAACTTATCAGCTCAGCAGTGCACTCTAAAACAAAGATACTCTACGAAACTTCCAAAGAATCTTCCGACGGGTACACAGGAACATCATTTTAGATTCAGTAAAAATAATTTTATACCATACAAAGACATAAACGTTCACAAAGAAAGACAATGCTTCATTTTCAGCGACTGAATCATCAGAAACAGTGAAGCATACTAATTCATTTAACTATACTCTATTCAACTTACTTCTTACTTCAAGTACTCTCATGAGTCGACAACCATAACCCACATAAGTTCATTTATTTGCATTTCCAAAAATACATCTTTATCAGCATTTTTCAGGTAAAAATACAAAATAACTACCATAGCTACGCAGAACCTTCTCTTAAATAATTTCATCATATAAATTACAATACTAGTACCTCATGCACTATTCTTCTATAATAGAAAAATGACTTATTCGTCTTGTTATGTTTTATCTAACTAACTATATATGAGATTCTTGATAATGCAATCGACCTGAATTTAAAAAAAAATTATTTAGCGATATTGGTATACTTTATCTTCATAATAATACTAGACAGTGTTGATATCTAAATCTATCTAACAAACAGGGGTATATTCTATAAGGGTGTGGCTTGTTATGTTCCGATACGAACTGTCTTTTACATAATACCAACATCCACACACAAATTGGATGCATTTTTGTTCTCGCGAGGTTTTTAGAGCATTCTTCATCCACAAAGTATGCCACAAATGAATAACCACAAGAAATATTTCACTAATATATTACTTTAATGGCATTGATCATAAGAAAAGCTTGACTAACAGTTGTAAAGATCACTTTACATAGAAATATTTTTTCTTTGTATAGAGAAATACTATGTAGTCTTCTTAGAAGTACGGCGAGGTCACATTTCAAGAGAAAGACAAGTATGAAATACAGGAGCAGTGCGACCGAAAGAAGATATCCTCTCGTGTTTTACAAAGTTGTGCTAGAGGTTTCTCTGGTTTTGTGGTCTGAAAGAACTTCGAGTGTATTTTTCAAGATGCCTTGTTCCGTTTTTAACCTCGTAGCGACCTCCATCAGTGTAACGTATCTTGATCAAACGTTGTTCTCTTTTCAAGATTCTATTGATCATTTTGAAAAATTCATGAAGATACTTCAATAGCATTAAACACCACCACACAATATAATATTCTGGTTCCAATACAAATTAAAAATGAAGAAAAAGAATCACAGTTGAATGTCACTTGTTCATAAGCTGAAATGTTTTATTCTAGTGTTGTTAGTGACCGTTAGCAAGCGTGAATTTTTTATTTTTCGACCGTCATCTAATTTTCATGGTTCAGTCCCATTTGGTCGACAGGTCCTTAATTGGTCCTTTTTCGTCGACAGAGTTTTTTTTTCCGTTTTGTCGACAAAAAAAAATTCCCTGTTCGTCGACAGAAATTTTTTTCCTGTTTCGTCGACAGAAATTTTTTTCCTGTTTAGTCGACAGAAATTGTTTTCCTGTTTGGTCGACAGAAATTTTCTTCCTGTTTCGTCGACAACTTTTCCTCTCTTTGATATAGCGCATTTTAATAATTAATAGATTGGTCGACTAGTTAAGAGACAGCTGATAAAGAATCACAAGAATCATCGTACAATTTTGATATTCGATCTAGGTACCTAAATACTGCACTTCTTTTATTTTTTGTATGACATCAGATGCAAAAAAATAGTACAAAAAATTATGATATTTTTCTTACTGGTGTCAAATTTTCATGTATCTATTCTTTTAAATGTGTTATAAACAATTTTTGTTGGACTTTTTGATCCTTTGGCTCATGATTGTGTTGAGTAGTTGCAACAAAAATTCGATCACCTTTTTGAGTAAAACGTCCTGGATATTTATTTCGATTCTTGCAATGCCATTAAGCATCGACATTACGAATACGATCACGTAAGTATCGATAGCCATTGAAAATTAAACATTTTTTACCTTTTCGAGTTTCAATTATTGTATATATTTTAATTCAAATATGTGGAATATTAGTAGAGATAGAAACAAAGAATATCCAAGTTATTGTGGTGGTTTGTTTTTTTTCATCATGATTCATCCACTTTATGTAATCGATATGATCTTCTCTAATAAAAGTTAATCATACTAGTCTTACTGATGTATCGTTATTCGATTACATCGATTATATTGTCACCTATAAAACA